CGGGGAGGGGGGCCGGCCCCCCTTTCCTTCTTCCCCTCTTCCCTTTCCTTCCCCTCCTAGTTAGACTAGGAAAGGGGGAACCTACTCCTACTAGGAGTAGGATTCCCCCCCTAGGGGCGCGCCCTATGAGGCCGGCCGGCCCCCTCCTCCACTCCTTTATATACGGGGGAGGGGGCACCCCATAGACACGCAAGTTGATTTCTTAGCCGTGTGCGGTGCCCCCCTCCACAGATTTCCACCTTGGTCATATTGTCGAGTGCTTAGGCGAAGCCCTGCGTCGGTAACTTCATCATCACCGTCACCACGCCGTCGTGCTGACGAAACTCTCCTCGGCCTCAGCTGGATCTAGAGTTCGAGGGACGTCACCGAGCTGTACGTGTGCAGATCGTGGAGGTACCATGCGTTCGGTACTTGATCTGTTTGATCGTGAAGACGTTCGACTACATCAACTGTGTTACTAAACGCTTCCACTTTCGGTCTACGAGGGTACGTGGACACACTCTCCCCGCTCGTTGCTATGCTTCTCCTAGATAGATCTTGCGTGATCGTAGGCAAATTTTTTAAATACTACGTTCCCCAACATACAAGACTGTCTAGCATGGACTTATGAATACATCCATCAATGCCAACAATATAGGAAAGAAATTGTGCTCTTGAAATTTGATTTTGAGAAGGCTTTTGATATGCTCAATCATGACACAATTATGGAAATTTTGAGAGCAAAGGGTTTTGGAGATAAATGGATTGAATGGATCAACATGATTTATGGCATTGGGTTCTCATCAATACTTCTTAATGGAATACCTGGGAAACAATTCCAATGTAAGAAAGGAGTCAGACAAGGTGATCCCCTCTCCCCCCTGATTTTTGTCCTAGCTGCAGATATGCTCCAAACCATGATGAATGAGGCCATGCACAACACTCTGATTGACTCTCCATTGATCCAAAATTCTTGTCCTGATTATCCAATCATCCAGTATGCTGATGATACTATTCTAGTAGCCCATGCAGATGCTCAACAGCTCACCCACATCAAAAATATGTTGCTCCATTTTGCATCCTACGCAGGACTCAATGTCAATTACTCCAATCCACCATTATATCTATAAACCCCCCCTCACGTCTAGGTTGTGGACGTACAGGAAGACCTTAGTCGTGGGATCGAGATTAGATCCTAACTATTTTTATATTAGATAGTGCGTTGGCCAGGATTTGATCCCGAGACCTTGTGGCTTCGATACAATATTGAACTGATGCGCTAGCCAACGTATTTTAACACTTGCACACGCCACCACGTGATGTGCCCCGCTGGTTATGGCTGCACCTCATGCTTTTCCTCTTCTAGTTGCCTGACACCTCATCCTGCCCGCCCCTCCGCTTCCGCATCGACCACCACGAGGAACTCCTACTATGATGTCACACTCGGTGCTTGTTGGATCTAGGATTGATGGATGCGTTCACCAACCCCCACCCCATCGGGTCGTGTCATCTGCTAGCTTCCTCTAGCCTCGACCACCCCATCATTCTTGGGAACCACTACCTCCAATCCCCTCCATGATGGTAGAGTCGTCGGGTGTGTCGATATTGAACTTGCCCGCCTACTTGCGCACCCATGCCTCCATAGCCCTGCTCTGCCAAGGGTGGGCCGGACACCCCAGATCCACAAGTTTCACTCCACCAACCACCCCTCCACCTCACTCAACCTGCCAGCATCGCCCTGCTTGGCCTGGCCGCACCTGGCTACTGGCGAGCATGCTCGTCTTTGATTCGGGATGCATGAGGATTTGGAGGATGTGGGTTTTTTTTCTGGGGTGTAAGCTCGAGCTAGCTCCGGGCGGCTCTGGGCGGCTCCGGCGGCGGTGACGTTCGCGGGTGTCGTTTACTTCCCGTAGTCGTCGCTGTAGCAAACCTTCATTCTCCTGGGTTCTGAGTGAAAGCTCGTTGATGATGGCGCCCGTGGGCGTCATTACGTGTCAGGATGGAATCTTATCGTCAGCTTTCATGTAGATCCTTGCGTCCTTGGTGGCGGTCCTATTGAGGGGTTCGGATTCTTCCGTCCTTGGTGGCGGTCCTGTTGAGGGGTTCAGCTGTGACGCCTAATAGCATTGCAATGCTGCCAAGTGATACCCCTCGTGTCGGTCATGTAGTCCCGCCATCCATGCTTCACTCGGTGGCCCATTTCAGTGAACTCATTCACACATAGCCATCCTTGTAAGCTTGCTCTTTTTCTTCATCTCTTGCCACCATTTGGTGCCCTTGTTCTATTTTCTTTGTTATGCAGTGCTTACACTCAGCATGGGGCAAATACCACCCTTCCCTATGGAGAGAACTACATCAGTGATACTCTTCAAGATCATGTCATTTCTTTGTTCTCCCCACTCCCTTGGGCAATGACCACTCTTTTGGTGGAGATTCTGTGTGTCCTTCATACATGTTCAACAAGTCAGAGTCTCTCCCATCTCCTTCAATCGGCATTACGAAATGACCACCCTCTGGTGTGTGAGGATGCGTGGTTTGGAATGGCACATCTCCTTAATGATGACTACTAGTGATCCTTGCTGGTGGTTTTGGCATTGACTGTTTTGAAGCTCTCGTGGTGTCTTTTGGAGTCTGGTCCTCTCCACCTCTATTATGGTTTTGAGATAACTTGGGTTGCATCACTAAACTCTCTAGCTTTGGAGATTGTTATTCGCATCGTGTCGATACCATGTACTGGTTTTTTGCATGCTTGCTTTTACAAGATATATCGCCACTCTGGTTGTTATGGTTTTCGATCTGGTTTCCCTTATAACCTAGATCAAAAATTTCTTTGAATGGGTATTTATTATGGAAACCAACAAGCTAGTCATGCCATTATGTTATTTGTGTATATATTTTTGTTCCTAATTTTTGGTATATAAATTCTTCCTTGCACATGTATTTATAAAAATAAATATATATTGAAATTAGAATAAAGGATTGCTTAGAAGCTAGTTTTACACTTTTTGAACACTATGTTGATTGAAATTGGGCATGCATATACTGCCGGTTACGGAGGGGATAGATGTAAAGTGGTTGGAGGGCTAAAGCGAGGGGATAGTTGTGGATGGTAGGAGGGCGAGGCGGTGGTTTAGGCTTGGCCGGGGATAGATCGGTTCTAGAGGTAAAGCTCCCTCTTTTCTCTGTTTATTTCTTTGATCCCTAACTAGTAAATGCGTACGTGTAATGCGCGTTGATATTAGGGAGGAAATTAATTGCATGTTGATATTAGGAAGGATATTAGTTACACGTTAATTAATAGACGTTGATATTTGGCATAATATTAATGGCACACTAAACATGTTGAGCGCTCACCAATGCAATCTAGGCTGTTAGATTGACATGGTTTGATTACCGACATTAATTGTATCTGCACCTTTCGGTCTGTCTAGGGCCGCTTTTGGGTCTGTCTAGGGCACATCGAAATGTGCAATATCCTTTGTGTTGTCCATCTGTTCTGTACTGGCCCTTGGTGGAGCCACCCTGCTAATGGCCAGGCGATTGGCTGCTGCTTGCTCCCTGATTGCTTCTATGTCTTCAAATTTCCTGAAGGCGTGCCCATCCAGAAGTTCTTTCTGGTGCGTGGATAGCTTCTCACCCAGAAGCTTGTTGATCTCGTTGGCCATGGGGGATGGTGGTGGGGATTGGCTGAGGGTCGGTAAGTCTGATACCAAGTTGTCACAGCCTAGGTTACGGAGGGGATCGTCGTGGCTGGTACAAGGGAGAGGGTGATGGTGTTTAGGCTTGCACGCCATGATAGCTGGGGAATATATCGGTTCTGGAGGTATTCCCCATGGTTGGTTGTCTGGGTACTCAATAAGTCCATGTTTTGACTATCCTAATCACTACAAAGAAAATCACCCTATCCATTTCATTTCTTTTGCTAGAAATGGCTTTTGATGGCTTGCTTTTCTTCTCTCGTTTCTCGCTCATACATGATGTTTGTACTTTGGAACATGTATTACAAATGCTTATCTAAATAGAAGATATTACTGAGAGATGGGGAAGCTGGAACGGTATAGATGAATTGATGGTGCAGAACTATAAAACTGACAGTAACCACTGATTTTCCAAACCTTTTTCTAGAAATGGATATGCATGTCTGAATTATTTGTTATTTGACTGGTTGAGAATAAGTTCTTTTTATGCTTTTCATATTGACTAGCAATTTATTGACTATTGTGTTTGTATTTGAATTTTCTCCATTATATGAATTCATACTAAAATTTAAGAGGCTGGTGTGTAAATGAATTATATTTATCCATCCCATTCATACTAAAGTATAGATGAATCAACATGGCATCCAGATATGACTTTGGGTAGGAGAATATATGTAATGTACTCAACTTATAATATCATGGATATGAATGTGCTATGACCAACAGTTAGTTGGCGTTCGACGTGTTTTCAACCCTACCCCGATCCAAATATTGTTTTTGTTTTATTTTTTACAAGTATACTTTGACATAAATGTCTATCATCTATGTACATATTTTCTAAGGGTCAAATGTGTTTTTACCCTGTAATGTGGTGTTAGCTGCATAGCGACCATGGCTGTAAATAATTGCGTGTGATACTGGATTATTCTACCAACAGTTTTATGTTTCACTTCACCTGTTTGTTACTTTTACATGACCCAACCTGTAGTCTGACATCTCTGGGTCCACTCACAGTTATATGTATCTTATGGTTTGAAATAATGCTGCTCAATTGTGTAGGAAGCACATGAAAATCCAAATTTACCTGATGGACTGGATGCTTGCCCATCGCAGAAACCTGAGGCTTCACAACGTCGCAGGAAAGAGAGAGAAAATATATCTGGGAGTAGGAAGAAGGCGAAGATCAATAATGCAAAGAAGAAGGCTGACACAAAGAAGTGCATTGACAATAGCAAAGCTGGTAAAGTGGGAAAACCAAGAGATCTGGGAAAATCTCTCCCTAGGCAAGGCATTCTGAAGTACACAGAGCACACATCTGTGAAAATGGCCAATGAGAAACATGTCAATTCAAAAGGCCATGAAGTAATAGAACTATGCTGCAAATCAGTGAAGGGTGTCAAATTCTCAGAAGCAGATGGTGTAATTGGCAGTAAGACGCAGAGTTGTGAGCTACCCAAACAACAAAGTCTCTGCAAGCTGTTCTCGGATGCTATGGCTTCATCGTCATTCTCTTCGTCAACATCATCCACGTCCATTGAAGGAGACAAATGTGTAACTGCAGAAACTAGTAGTTCTGACATGCCCAACAAAGCCTTCGCTAAGACTAAAGAAGCAAATAAGCATTGCGATAACAAGTACTCTGCTGAGCCTAGTAACAGAGAGATGTCTGCTCCATTCATTGATCTGAATATGACACCACCAGAATGTACTGATTTAGGCTGCACCTACGATTCAAATTTAGAGGTGCCCAATCTTGAGCATAGACATGATGAAACTTTAAGTTCTGATGCTGAATTGCTCGCTGGTGGAGAAAACTTGATGAATTTATCTTTTGGCTCACAGGGACTGGAAAGCCAACCACCTGCTTCTGACTTTGAAAAAATAAAGAGTTCAAGATGGGCAGGCACATTTTTGAATGGTGAGGCAATCAATGTTTCCGACATAGATGCTGTTGGTTCTCCACTGAGCTTAAGAGAACTCGCTGAGACTCGTTGGGGTTGCAGTAATGTTTCAGTAAATGATACCATGACTATGAGTACATATCCTTGTGCATTGCCAGACCAGACATTTCAAGATTCATTTACGCAGCACAAGACTTGGTTCTCCAGAAATCTGAATAATGTTGGCTCCCAGCTTTCTCGTGAATGTAATGTGTCTCACAGCACGGAGTTATATTCTCGTTCTGAGTTGAACGTGGGGCACGAGTGTAGTCCTTCTACGGGACAGACAGTTCGTTTGATGGGTAAAGATCTTACAGTTTGCACGACCAGAGGTGAATCGTTTGCTGAAACTGCACAGAAACATACAGGAACTTCCACCAATGACTATCTTAAGGCAAATGTATTATTGCCACAAGGACAGCCTTTTTTCTCTTTACAAGCTCAAAGTTTCCCCAATGTTGCGGTAAATTCTACCAGAACAACTCAAGCTTCAACATATCATGCAAGCACAAGTCACGCACATTTTGGGTACAGGACTCCACATGATTTCAGTCACCCGTTTCCTGCAGCTAATATATTTTCTGGAGATCGATTGCCATATGAAAGCAGGTATGGTGGTTTTTCAAACTCACGGACCAATCAGACTTTTCTATTGGGGTGTCCACCTCTTCCGAATCATAGCAGTGCAGCATTCCATCAGAATACACCGCGTCCTTGGCGTTATTTCTCTGATCCCTTCGCTGGGGATGAACCACCTGCAGCACCATTTTTGCCTGTAACCGGACAGCAAAGGACACCACCTTCAGTGTTCCATGCCGATTTACCTCGTCAACATGTTGTGCATTCAGCAAGGTCGTCGGTTTGCCCTCTTAACTCTGTGAGTTATACACTCAGCCATCCAGGCCAGGTAATTCAAGAAGTTTCCAACAGCACAGGAGATGCAGCCCTTCTGTCCAGAAATACAGAGAACCGAATGAGGAGAGCTGTTCCTGACAATTCCAATGCTTCTTCTAGTTGTCGCAGTGTGCAGAAGAGATCAGGACCGGTGAAGCTCACTCCCGGCGCGAAGCATATACTGGTGCCAAGCGATAGCACACATGGCGATTCTATGCCTGTGTACTCCTGTTTATCCTTCGGAAGTAGGAGCGGAAATGCTGCAGGGTCTCAGAACAAAGGAGCATGATGATAGACTTTGTGAAATGCTGTTTAGCCTTCAGAAGTAGGAGCCTTTTGAAAATTGCTTACAATTTTCTTTCTGTAAAACTAGATTCACTATCCTGTAAGAATAGTTGCCATACTTTTTGTGCTTTCTGTGCTTGCTTAGTAGTTATTTTCTCAGCTGAACCTGTATCCATGGCTTGTGTTATCCAACAGCATGCAATCTGATATTTTCTGTATTCGTCTGAATTTAAATGATTTCTGGTACTGGTAGATTGTATTACCTACATTTTGCATTTGCAACCTGGTTATAGTAGGTGCAATTTGTTTTTCCGAGGTTAGTTTTCACTCGTAAGTCGTAATGCAACCTCCCCTTTTTTCATATAATTTCTTGGTATACACGAGGCACACTTCAACAACTCCCTAAGGCTAAACACTAATAGGTTGCAGTTGATCCGGCAAAGAAAAAATACCAAGTGTCCGAGAACAAGTGGACAAATAGAATAACCCCTAATCAATTCTTCAGTTGCCTGGCCTTTCCATAATATGTGATCTGCTGCCAACAGAGATTAAAATTCAAAGCACCAAAGCCCACTACAGTTACAAAGCTAAAATATGTCAGGAGAAACAAATCGTCTACAGAATGAAATTCAAAGAGCAATGCTACGGGGACGACAATGTTTGGACGACTCATGCACGACGATTAAATCGAGCCGACGAATCTTGAGCACAGCTGAGCAGTGGCCACTGGATCCTCTGGTCGTGCACTTATCGTCCATACACTGTCGTGTGTGGAGCAGTTTCGAAATTCAAATCATGAGAAGTACTGAACTTCGTTCTCTTTTCATCAACTCAACATTACCTCAAGTCCATATTAATTCTTTTTGATCAAGCAAAAATAATATACAGTTGGTCAAATAATCGTGGTTGTAAAGATATTATCTATACTAGGGTCTTTAGTCTTTACCCTCGGTGTAAGAGGGTAAAAGAATCCAAGGCCGGAGAAGCATCGAGAAAAGAAACCAGTGACAAAAAGGTCGCTCCTAAGTCGCTCCCGCCGGCGACTCAGGGAGCCAACCCTAGCACCGCCACTTCTCAGCCCCCCTTCCCGGCCTAGCGTGTCGCAGCTGCTACAAGGTGGCTCGGGGCTGCTCCTTGGGGTCTCGACGTGGATGTGGGCTGTCACGGCGTGGTGGTAGCTCATGGTGGTGGTCTGGATCATTTCACGGCGGCGGTTGGTCTCCTCCGGCGTCGGCCGTCAGTGAGCGGCCTGTATCGGACCTTCGTTTCCTCCCCTCGTCGTCCGGGCTCTACCCTCGTCGTTGGGCTGGACCGCTCCCAGCTGCAGTCCATTGCTCGTCTTGCACCCAGCAGTAGGACCGAGCTCGTCTCGCGCCCGGCAGCAGGATCAAGGTCATCTTGTGCCCGGCGTTTGGACCGAGCTTGTCTTGCACCCGGTGCAGCAGGACGGGTCGATGGAGGCCAATTTGGCCG